GAGATTGTCAATACCACGCCACAACATCATGGGAATTTTCAAAGTCAGATTTGAGAGTCTCGTAGCAACACTCAGAGACCTAATGGAAGGTGGAGGTGGGGAACAAAAAGGAAATGTATTTCACTTTTTGCTGTGGAGTGCCTCTTATGAAAACTGGCCAATCTTGCAACATGTCAGCTCCGTTCCAGAGCGAGCAGGAGCTGTATCGCTGACCGCAACCCCAAGTGATCAGTCACCAGCACAGCTTCGAGCTGCACTGCCTGCAAACGCTACCCACTCCTCAGTCTCTAGTGCAGGGAGTTGTTTGGTTTCTTTTCTTTTTTTATTGGCGCTTCACATCTTCAAAGCGTACTGCAGCTTCAGGGCTTAGTTCAAAGAAGAAAGAAAACCATTTCAAAGAAAGCGACGACATAGGCAGTGGTGGCTCTTTCATTCCTGTGCTTGCTGGCTGAGCTCACTTCTGGCACGAGCTACCGGGGAAACGCAGGGAAGAGAAAGGCAAGGCAAGACAAGACAAGACAAGGCTGGCTTACCAGGGGTCGAGATCCCAGGCTGGAGTTCCGGAGCGACTCCAGTTCCTCCGTCATCTTGGAGGCCAGCGCCTGCAGGTAACCCCTGGCGTCCTTCTCGTCGCTGACCCTGTGTGGGGGTGGGGGCATCACATGCACAGGAGTCACACAGCAAGCCCTCCGCCCAGCAGAGCACACCTTTGAAATACTGTTTAACGAGCTGAAGGGTGCCAAGCATTTCTATCTCCTAGGGACATGGAGCTCGTTCGTGGCACGGACACAGGCTGAGCCACGCCTTGCCGTTTTAAGCCCGTGAGAAAACAATCGCGACGGAGCTGGAAGCAGTACCACTGGATGATCTCCGCGATCTGCGCCTCCCAGTGAGCCACGCTCTCCTTCTTGGCCGCCAGGTCCTGCAGCTCGTCCTCCAGCTGCCTGTTCTGCGCCGTCAGCTTGTCCACGAAGGTGCAGAGCTGCAGCAGGGCGGGAGAGGC